TATATATATATATATATATATATATATATATATATCGATGTCAATTTCTAATAATTTAATAATATGCTTTGTATTATATTTTACCTTTCTTTTTAAATTTTGTTTCGTTATGTATTATTTTAGTATATATTACTGATTAATATCATTAAAGATAATTTATACTGTTATATTTCTTATTTGCTTAATAGAGGAGACCAAATCACATATAATTGTTAATATTTTATATTTGTTACATACTCGCTATATCATAATTTTTCATTAAAAGAGTATTAGATAATAAAGATAATTTTACATTTATAGATGACGTGATGCAAGCCATTAAATATAATAATCTCATTATCATAATATAAAATGGCAACATTTTGGTCAGGGAGGCCTGGTTGGTTAGGAAAAGTAGGAATAGCATTGTTAGCTACGTGGCTTTTGGTACTAATAATATCAGTATCACATATCTTTAAGGCTAATAATTTATCATCCAATAATGAAAATCCTACAAACAAAGAAAATGCTCAACGTTTAGCTCAAATGGTTAATGATTTTGAAATCCTGAAGAGACAAAACGAAGCGTTGAAAAATATAGTTTTAGGGTAAGTTTATAATAGAAATTTATAAAGACAGACAGATTTATTTAAAGTATAAAACAAAGAGCATTGTGATCTTTTCGTTGTACAGGATAACATAATTTCCAGAGAAAGATCAAAATCTATTCAAGGAGATCATTTAGGTTCGATACAAGAAAAACTTGAAAAAGTTTCTCTTTATGATGATATATTGGATCATCAAGATACTGTTAAGTATGGAGTCCCTTCTTCTGAATATGAAGAATCAAGAAGAAGGATAAGAAATAATGTTCAAGAGACATGGTAAGTATAATGTCTTAAATATAGTTTATCATCAAATTTGAAAGAATAAAAATAATACTCTAATCTTTAACCAGGTATTATATTAATGCAGAGTTAAGTAAACTTAGGAAAACTATTGATAAACTTAGTTATGAGCAGAGGGAAAAAAAAATACAGGACACATTAAAAAATGTTTGGGATCATAAAAGATCTCTCATAATAGATATTGATAGATTAATGATAACAGATGGTTATGATGAATGGCGTAAAAAAGAAGCAAAAGATTTGTCTGATCTTGTACAAAAGAGATTCAGGTATTTGCAGAATCCTAGTGATTGCAACAAAGCAAGAAAGTTGGTTTGCAGTTTGAATAAAGGTTGCGGATTTGGATGTCAGGTAAGTAAAAATTATTTTAAATAAAATATAAGATTTTATGTAAATTGTTATAAATGAAATTTTGTATATTTCAGATTCATCATATTACATATTGTTTCTTAGTTGCTTATGGTACAGAACGAACATTGATAATTAGATCTAAAGGTTGGAGATATCACAAAGATGGTTGGGAATCGGTCTTTAAACCGCTTAGTGAGACCTGTGTATCTCCAATTGGAGCATCACATGCCAATTGGCCTGGTGACTCTTCTAAACAAGTCATCTCATTGCCAATTGTAGATAATGTTTATCCAAAACCAAGGTTTCAACCCCCAAGTGTACCAGCTGATTTAGCTATAAGATTAGAAAAACTTCATGGACATCCTTTAGTCTGGTGGGTAGGACAAGTTTTAAAGTATTTAATGCGACCTCAAGAACATGTGAAAAAAACATTAAATGATGCTAAGGAAAGGCTAGGCTTCAAGAAACCTATTGTTGGAATTCATGTACGGAGAACAGATAAAGTTGGTACTGAAGCTGCTTATCACGATATAGATGAATATATGGTTAAAGTTGAACAATATTTCAACGAACTTGAATCAAAACCAGAGGTGAAAAGAGTTTTCCTAGCTAGTGATGATCCAAAAGTGATCACAACGGCAAGAAATCGTTATTCGAACTACGAGATAATCGGAGATCCGGAGATAGCAGAGACAGCTTCAGTTGCAAAGCGATATTCTGATTCTTCTTTACAAGGAATAATTATCGACATACATCTTCTATCCGAATGTGATTATTTGGTGTGCACATTCAGTTCTCAAGTATGCCGTGTAGCATATGAATTAATGCAAACTTATTATCCAGACGCTTACAATCGTTTTGCGTCATTAGATGATATTTACTATTATGGAGGTCAAAATCCCTATCCTCATCAGGCTATTCTAGATCATAAGCCAAGAAAGGAGGGTGAAATTGAATTAAAAGTTGGAGATTTAATTGAAGTTTTTGGAAATCATTGGGATGGTTATTCTAAAGGATACAATACTAGAACTAGTATGACAGGATTATTTCCCAGTTTTAAAGTTAAAAATCCAGTAGATGCTGTAGATTTCCCGAAATATCCACACGTCTTTTTACAAGAAAATAGAAACGAGTAGACGTACTTTGAATGTGTAGTGATCTTGAGAACATTCAGATTGCTTAAAAAAAAGTAACTTGCCTTCATATTTCAATTGTTAGAAACAGTAAAAAACTTCATAAACACATGTATATTTTATTACAAGCAAATAATGAATTTAATTCTCACAAACTGAAACTATCTCATATTATGAGATAAAAAGTGAGTTCTATTGACTATACATATGTGGATATTGAATTTTAAGAAGATCGTATATAAATATTCATAAACAAATGTTACAGAAAATTTTGAATATGTTTACGATCTTCTTAAAAATTGAATTAAAGATATAAACATAGAGAGAATAAAAATAGAACACGTGCGTGCGATGCAATTAAAAATTTTTATATATTTTGATTGAAGTTAAAAATTTTAATCGTTATTTTAATAAGAGATTTTATTAGAATGTGACTGTATTAATGTGCTACATTGCGACTCTAGCAAACTGAATGTATGTTTCTTATCTAATGCATTATATAAAATAGATTTAACTAATATGCGACAAGAATAAAAGTTATTTGTGCCAATGCACTTGATTCTCAAAGTATTATTTACAATGGGCAAGCCAATATTTAGACAAAACCTATGTAACATGTCAATTTTTATAAATTGTAGAATTTTTATATTATTAGTTAATCTCGTATCTAAAGGCTTGCATTATTATTCATTGTCATAACGTACAACTTGTACATAAAATATGCAATATAAATTATATAAATTACATAATAATTTTTTAATAATACTAGAGCTTATACAAAACGCATAACAAACATTGTATAAATTACATAATGATAAGCCTGAAATGCATAGACATCGAGCTGGGCTTGAGGCCTATCTTATATAATTAAGGACATTTACTGTATACATATTGTAATATATTTTATACCATATATCAAACGTAAATGAGAATTGTTATTATATTATGAAATATAAGTTTGGTTTTTAATAAATATTTAATTCATGAATTCTTTAGTCTTGTTTTCATTTTAGAAATTACATTTCAATAATAAAAATTATCATTAAGAATATTAACAACACAAATACTTTTTTAAAAATTTTTATTTTAAAAGTAACTTGAATAAATGAAGTCGAGCGCCGTGCCGTCAAAACAAGAAATTAGTCAAAGATGGAATAGTGCTATTAAAAGATGTGTTTTTTTATTTTTGATGTGTGTAGGAAAAGTTAAATTGAAATTAATAAAAAATTGCAATTACAATTTTTATAAATTTTTATAATTTTGGTATTATTAATATATCAGTATTATATCACTATATTTTGACGTTATCAATATAATATTATTGTTATATTACTAATTCCAAAATAGTGTTTTAGTATGTGATCATGTTAAATTGATTTTCGAATATATAGACGGAAGATTTCCAGAGTATGGCACAAATTTCTCGTGTGTATAAATCTGAAATACCAATATTAATTCACATTTTCTCTAGAAATTGTAGTCAGCAAAGGTTAGAATGTAAAAACAGTGCGTTTCATCGTATGATGTATGATGTATACATATATCATTTAATGTTAAATGTTTTTTAAAGACGTAAATACAATTATTACGAAGTATTGCATATTTCCTCGAATGCAACTCAAAAGGAAATAAAAAATGCTTATATTAAATTATCAAAACAGGTTAGTATTTTTTTCAAATGTTCCAGATATTTTTCCAATCATATTTGATTTTATAGTATTTTAAACATCTTAACTTTCTAGATGCATCCTGATAGTGGTGATAAAGGAAATCATGATGATTTCGTGAAAATAAATGAAGCCTATATGATATTAAGTAACAAACAGAATAGGCATTATTATGATATTGATTTAAAAAATGATAATGTTCATGAAAACTATGACTATCAGAGGACTAGGTATAGTTTTTGAGAGAACTATATTTATTTTAAAAATTGTTTTCAAAAATTATTTTTAAGATTTATTATAATTATATTTATTTTCAGATGTAATAATCATTACCAATATGATATGCAATATTCAACAAATATAAAAAAATATTTTGAAGAAAATAGAAAAAGAGCAATTATATTTTGTTCCTTCCTTTTGATCACAGGACTATTCCTTCAAGTAGTACGTGTTATGATATGGTCCAAAGCTAATAGAGAAGCTGCATTAAAGAAGAGTAATCAAATTTTAGTAGAATGTGAAACTAATCTAAAAAAGTATGAAAATAAAACATTTAAAGAAAAATTAAAAATATTTGAAAAAATGATGGCAGAACAGTTTAAAGATGATAAATAACACATAAAGAAAGTGTATTTACTTGGATGTATATATTATATACTTGGATGTAGAAAATTTTTAGGAATTTTCTTTTATTTAATTATACATTTGTAATTTACACAATACGCAATGGGTTGTACATTATAAAATTTATTTTTTTAGATAAAATAGATTATATTACTTTTATTTTTGTGTATAAATTCATTGCAATAATAACAAATTTATTATCTTAAATATATTCAATAAGCATATTAAATGATATTGTACATAGCAAACAATAAACATATAATAAACAATAAACATATTAAACATGTAACTTCTATATATATTAATGCAATAATCGTCTGTAGTTCAAATTGATCAACATGCATATTATACATTATTATTGCTGGCATTTTGGCACAATCCGTTTCTATAGCGACGAAATAATTATAATAATATAAATAAATCCGTGTAACACTGATTTATACATAGAAAAGTAATAAATAAGTAAAATAAACATTTAAAAAAGAAATGTACAATGTATTCGGATGTTAGAAAAGAAATGTAGATATAAGAGTGCGTTTTTAAAATTATCCACGATTTTAAACAGGTACTCTCGATTTTATATGCATATCGTGTCGCTTTTTACAATTTCTTAATGTACGTGGCAATTGCTGCATGTGGAAATGCGGGGGAAAATACAGGATTACCTTCCTCATCTACGTAATCTGTATAATTGAGTTCATATATCTGTTCAAAGCCCAATCGTAAGCAGAGTTTCCCAGAAAAGAAGGATGAACAATCAACACGTGTAATGTGAAAGCCTTTCTCCTTTCCAATTTCCCTACAAATTTTTGTAAGTTACTTATACTATATATATATACTTAATTATCTCTATATACTTGTAATATATCATATATCAAAGTACATTAATTAGTAAGATCAGATTGTGATTTAATTACGAAAATAGGACTCACAGTGATTTTTCCACAAGCTCTTTGGCAATCCCTTTACCTCTCCAGTTAGAATCTACGGAAATTATTTTGATTTCCAGGATGTTCAATCCCCGAAATTTCCCATCGCGGTTTACATTACGATCCACATAATTCAGTAATCTAAGAATTTTTTTAAATTTCTGATTTTTACACGTAGTTATGTATTCTGGTTCTTCATCGCTCGGATGATCCATTTTTCCTGCATTTAACAAGTAGTTAGTTCGCTGAGTACATGCTTCATGTATTTAATTCTAATTTACATAGTAACTGCTTAATTTATTGCGACATATGGATAACATTGACCGCGTTGCATAAATTGTATAAATATCAGATCACGATTATCATTACAGCATATTTCTGTTTTGTTTTTTATAAATTGGATTTTTTATTGTGCATGATACTTCCACTATCGCTTCACGAATTAATTCAAATTTATTCTAAATTTAGCTTTGAAAGTTAAAAATTTTTGATTAAGACTTGCAATTTAAATATCATTAATTAACAAAGTATTTCACATTATTGTAGCATAAAAAGCGTACTGCAATTCAGTCTTAATAATTTACATCCTTTGAAGATAATTTTTTAACACTTGTTTTGCAATTGAAATGATAATTATCTTTACATTCAACACAAAATCGTTTCTTATTCACCGCTGTGATTGATCTATCAAGCTCCACAATCAAATCTTTGTTTACGAAAAAATTTATTCAGAGAATTTTATTATGTTCGCCAATAAATTAATCGACGAATTTAATAATCAAAAATGTTGCGCATCAACAGAAAAAGGAATTACTCTCCGATAAGTATTGCATGGTAATTTTTTTTTTTATATATTTTTAGCTTCAGTCTTTCTAATCTGAATAACATGTGATTAAGTAGATTTGTCGGTAAAATAATGTAATTACTGCGATTGCGACAACCGGTAGCAATTAATAAGTCTCACGCTTGCCTGATACTCGCATAACGATTTATATAACGTTACCAGTACTGTTTTCTGGTAGGCGTGTCCGCTTCTCTTTGAATCCGATTTTCCTCATTTTTTTTAGATTTAATTAATTGAAATATGCTTGTACAACAACATTATAGTAATTTATGAATATGATATCTTGACAACACGTAGTAAGCTATCTAGCGACTTCTTATCTTTAATGCTAATCTGATGTTGTTAAATAGTAGATGTTTAAAAAATAAAAAAAAAAAAGATAAGATCTTGGCCTGGAAAAATTATGAACGAACATTTTATACATTATTTTCAAAGTATCTGCTCATCCTATCATTATCCTAGATTCACTTTGACACATAAGCTCGACGAATAATTATTCGTCACGACTTTGTATTCGTATAGAACTTCTTAACTCATAGCATCGAATTGTTTTCCGCTGAGAATAGAATGTTCTTAGTACGCGATCGTGTTGTTAACCCAGATATATCAGGATCTAAGCAAACACAATCGTAGAGCATCAGCAGCTTTCGCGCAAGTAGCTCAATGAATAGTGAAAACATCGGTTAATCTTCGGTACGCATAAATCAAATTCTTACCATTTAATATTACGCCCACTATAGCACCGTTCGTTGAGACCGCCATGAGACTGAGATTGTTTTCAAAGGAAGACATGCTACAATATTCTTCCAATTCGAGGCAAGTGCTGTCTTCGCTTTCTGGTATCAGTTCGATCGAATGATTGAGCGGTTCGTCTCTGAAGAAGAATCGCCGAAGAAATTTGAGTATCCTGAGCTTATCATCTTTAGTGATTGTTTGAATATCATAGTCCATTTCAATTATTTCGTTGTTCGCTGAATCAGCCAGCTGAAACAGGCAATGGAACAGTAACAAAATTTACCAATGTTGCAAATGCGTTTTGTTCGTGTAAATCGTTCGATTACTCTTGTCGATAGTTGGAACACTGCTGGAACACTGCTTAGACAAAGTGGCGCATATTTGAATACTGTACGAATCCTGCACAACAATATATGGTGCAACAATGCATATATAAGTAAATGTAACTTAATGCAAAACCGGGACAATAACAATTCATTGTTTTCGCGACAACGGGAATTGAATTAACGCTTTCACACGCGACAATTAACGTAGCCCATTACATCGGCCTGTATAGCAATTCACAAAGTGTTCCCATTTGCGCAATGCTTCAACTCGATCATCAATGGTCAATGCTGTCGAGGATCGAATTATGATTAATCTGCTTCGATGCAATGATTCGCGACAGCAAATACAATTATGTCTGCTTCGTTGTAAAGGAATTCGTTCCATTAACTGAATATTAATATTAAAATTAGAACAGAATTAAAATTGGGGATTCATCGATAATATTATTCTGTCATTATCGTATTGTACATTTTCTCTTCTTCAATTAGAATGTTTTATAATATTTAATTATCAACATTCAAAATTATTAAACGTATACGCCGAAGACGCGATATTTATATTTATGATAAAAAGTTATTAATTCTGCACTCTTGAAGCATTTATCCACTCGGCACGAATGCAACGGAAATATTATTTCCCTAATAAAATTAATCGTAATCGACCAGCTTCCATTCTCGTGGAAACTCCAAACGAGAAACATTGTCAGCTTACCGTGTACTTGATCATTTTCGGCACATCTTTCGCGAAGTTGGTCTGACTCTTGCTAGCATCGTTAAGAGCAGAGTTGGTCATTCCCGTAGACAGTACGTTTTCCATGGCGTACGTTTTCTTTATTATTATTCAATGTGGACGTTCGTAACCGGTTTTGTCCAAATTTCGCCGATGATGTCGTTCCGAGAGGATCACGATTGTTCGTTTAATTGATCACTGAATGTAAGAGACACACCAGCGAGTTTGTCAATAACACGAAGCTCGTTGTTGACGTCGAGGTGGTAATCTAACACTGCGCTTTGTGATAGGACGTCGTCAGGCTTATATACGCTCAGCACGGACAAAAGCCATTCGTACAAGTTCAAGGACAGATGGATGTACGATTTAGGATATTCGGCGATTGGTAACAATCGGCATTTAATTGATACCGTGGATAACACGATCAATTAAAATATCTCTTCTATTTTTCTGTTATTCGAATGGTTTTTCGCTCGAGCAATCGACTTTTTTCTTACACGGAAACGAAGAGTTTTCAAGCGGAATCGATATGCATCTTTTACGAATTGGAAAGGATATTTTACATAACGTTCACGCACACATTCCATCATCTTTCGCGACGTCTTTCCGTTCTTCCCGACAATAATTAGTCGCGTGAGTTCCTCTTTCGAGTCGAGTTGATTATCGTTGGTGCCTGTACCGCGTGTAATTCACCATGAACGGAGCAGTGGCGAGGGAATGTCCAATATAATAATGAGATATCGTTGGACGAACTTTGTCGTTTGATATCTCTCAATACAAATGACTCTCGAAAAAAAAAAAGAAAAAAAAAAAAACAAAGAAAGAAAAAAACGAGAAAAGAACGTACATTAAGCAGTCCATCCAGGTTCGCCTGAGACACGCAATCGACGTTTAATAGAAATCTAAAAAAAGAGCGAAATTATTACTTGCGCCAATTACTTAGCGTAAGACCCTGGCGCACGTTAGGATTCTATACAAGAATGAATGGACAACTAACTCGGAACTGCCATAACATTCCACGGTAATAAAATCTCATACGGCATTACAGCCGTCACGTTTTCTCATCGTTCGTGTATATATATTGCAACGTGACACGGAAATAAAACAATTTCGTGCGTACAGAAAGTTCCAATTAGTTTCCCTTCGACGCTTGAAATCTTTCAGTATTTGCGTCGGCGAATCGAGCGGCTTTTCCGCTCGAGCGCAAAGTGTTTAACTCAAGTTCAGTGTACATAAACGGAATCGATAGAATCACGGTAATAGATTGAATCAAAAAGTAATGAGGCAACGTTTGCCAATAAAACCACTTCCTTTATCCGCGTATTGACAGACGCGTGTGACACTGAAAACCGATTAAGCACGCGAAGATGTATTTTATTTCGGAAAATCGCTGGCTATCTTCTCGGATATCTCGCGTCAGCTTGCCGCGGTACGGATCGAAACGTTCGAGGTGAAAACGTTGAATCGAAAGCATCGGCGTTCTATTTAAATACAAAGTGAGGGGCTTGTGTATCAGTTGCCAGTGCAGGTATAGATATCGAATAGCTTGAACTTTAATACCGTCTTTCGAAATTGAAAGTCGATTCACATGTTACATCGTTCATTCCTTCATTTCTTTCCTCCCTTGTCGTCCGTTCTACCGTAATACCAAATCAAATGTCAGTGCAATGCTCTCTCGATTTTTGCATTGAAAAATATCTGGACACCGGTTTGCCAAGACCGTGTCCATGTTTAGATCGACATCATTCAATGTCTTTTAGTCTCCTGGGTCTCGAGTCTATCGTTCCATATAATGCTGGAAAATTTAGAAAAATATAATAAAAAAAAAAAAAAAAGAAACGCTAACTTGTGATTTCGAAGATCTCTGCGACAAAATTAAGCTTAGTTTGAGTTTTTTTTTTTTTCTATCTAAATACGTTTACACGGACATCTTGTCTATCGTCCGGTGATCTTTCGATCGGACCTCCGATGGACATTGCCATTTGTATTGGTCGACAAACTGAATACAATCACCGGTCTCTGCAGCTTGATGGTTAGATCTGATAAACGAGGTGAACGCTAATGCATACGACAATGAAATATAACAGTCGTTCGTTTCTTCTAGAAATCCTTTCGAACCGGATTCGGTAGGAGGTGTTAAACCGCCAACAATTTCCGTGACAGATGACGCTGACCTTTTTCACGAAGCCTTTTTCCTTCTCGTATTTTCTGACGCGTTCTTTCATCGTTCTATGCTTTCTTAAGCAAATTTCTTACAAATCGCCGATCCGAGATGAAGTGATAATGGCGCGACAACAAGTACGAACAAGTGC